GTGGTTTCGAAGAATCCACAAAGTTACGGTGAGTGGTTCTCCTTTCGACCACCTGCGTGCCCTGGGGGTCTCGAACTTAGTGAGTTGGTGGAGACGTTTGGTCGGATAATCACAGATTGTTATGATCCTTTCAGGCTCTGAAGAAAGCGATTCCGCCGAAACGTCAGCCTAATAAAGCTTATTTAAAAACCTCGTAAAGAGTTCAAGACAACAACAAACTCAGTAATATAATCATGCCGAGGTTCATAGAAAGCCGTACATGGAACTTTGATGTTGAAGTTCGATTTGCACCTTTCAGCATCGGCGCGGCAACCGTATTCGGCATCAAGCACAAACCAGCCATCGGGATTTAGTGGTTCGTCCACAATGCCAACAATGCCGATGGGTGGAGTACCTACACAAGGACCCCCATCATATCCTGCACAGCCACAACCAACACAACAACAACAACAACAGCCACCTTCAACCGGATTCGCAGGGCAACAGCCTCAACAATCCGCACCGAGTTCCTCGCAACAGGGATATGCCTATGCTCATGGGTTAGTTCACGAGCAGCTGTTATCCTTATGAAGTTCTATTACATATTATGTAGCGACTTTTCATTATATTATAAATTTCTTTGTTGTGTTATCAGGTTTAAATGTGTCCAAATGGATTTTCTGATTCGTTTCAAGGAAATTAGTTCGTCGATACAATAGAAAAAATTTATGTTTGTCAATCGTAGAAATTATGGATAAAGAAGTTCTTGTTGCAGGGCTGGAGCAGCCCCTACCTTCGCTCCAACCTCTAGCACTGCTGCTCCTGGTCATTCCGGCAATGTCAATGTTCATCAAGCAAGCGCTCATCCCACTGTCCCAAAAGCGGTACGAAGAGTGTGTGACCGGCCTATATTTTTCTCATTTGTAATTTTCAGGACACAAAAAGACCGCTTAATCCTCCTCCGTACTCTCCCCAAATATTGGAGCACTTGGATAAATTTTCTGTGGGAACGCTTACTGTCATAGGTCGTGAACTGGTTAGCGAGTTGACAACGAGGTATGGCTTTCAATCGTTAAACTACGTTTGAAGTTTAGGATTAAACTTGATGATATCCCTTTTTGGGTTGATTACAGAACGCATAGCTTATGCGTGTCGTTAAAAGCGGTATCTGAACGGAAGCCACCAACTGCAGGAGATCCGGAACAGCTTTTGGAGTACTGCCAAATGCTTATGGATAAACTTGTTGAAATAAGGTTGGAGTTTCAGTTCACATGTTGGTTGTGCTTCTCTTCTAGTGGTAGTAGAATTTTTCATACAGGCTTCGAATAGAGAAAAAAGTTGGACGTAGGCGGTTGAATACAACTGACTATATTGAACGAATGAGTGATATGACCCCACCTGTAGACGATGCACCACCAGAATTGAAAGAGAAAAGGCAGCAGTTTGAAGAAAACAGGTTGGTTCAACTGAAGCTGTTGTATTTCGATCCTGAACTGGTCTATTTAGAACGAAACTATGCACGTTGAACAACGATCTGAAGATGCTTGATTGGATGGCCAGTGTGACGGATCCGTCCCTTCTGAAGAAAGTCGATAAAATGGCCACATCTGTTCGAGAACGGGAGTAGGCAGAAGCCTCCATGGCTCATCGTTGATTTGCTTTGGTTATGCATGCAGTACATAATCTGTTCGCTTTGTTATTTGTGTTTAAATTTCGAGAAAGGTGTTATCGATTGCCTTTTGCTCACGGCAACATTAATGCTCATAGATAATCACTGACCAATTTGCAATTTGCAGTCTTTTTCCGTTTGGTTTACAGTCGACCTTTATTTATGAGCTAGAGCTTTGGGTCGAAAGTGAACTGATAGTTGGTCTGTTTCTTGTTGAGCAATCAGAGAAATTTTCGGGTTTGTATGGTCATTTTCTTGTATTCGTCTTTGATAGTAAAGATATTTTTATGTAGATCTGTGCTAAATTTTTGGCTGAGTACTTTATTCTCAAATCATATTGAACCGTTCATTGTCTATTGCTAATGTATTGAATTCCATAGTAATTTACTTATGTCAAGCAGAATGCCGAAAACCTCCATATACAAAACACGAGTAGGAACAGAGTTACTCATGGGGAAGGTAGTCAAGCTCAGCAACGTTGGAATTGATCGTGTTCCATGTGCGCAGGTAAATTCAAATCGCCTCTTTACTCATCTTCATGTTGTGTGAACTTGCCTTTCTCAGGTCAGATGCAGTATGAACGAGTTCAACAGATATTTGAAGATGTATTTTGCACGTGCATTTGAGTTTTGGGCTCTGGACAGGTAGGGTGTAGGAATTCTCGAGTTCAGCTTAATCGATGAGTTTAGAAAAGAGTTCATAGATTGTAAAAGTTGATAAAATTCTGTAGTTCTACAAGACAATATATGAGGTCCAATAACGCGAACTGATGGTTCCTCATAATTTGCCACATTTCTGTCGAGCCCAAGCCTGTGTATCTTTTTCCTTCCTGTATCCCGCTCAGTAGCAGAGTACGTTGTTCTTGTAATTAGCAGCTACTACTTCCTCTTACTGCAACCCCTACCATTATCTTGAATTCGGAGAGGTTTTCACATCCCTCCATCTCTTCTACGAGGGTCATCGTGGTCGTTTTTCTTGGGCTAAACTCAACTACTTGTTTTATAAGAGATCATGTTTGCTCAACGTCACATGTATGTACCATCACAAGCGTTGCTATCGCCTCCTCCGCTAAGCTCGAGGGCACGGCCGCTCATTATTCTGTCTTGTGGATTGAGAATTTTTTTTACAAACGGTCAGAATCCAGAAAAGAAATATGGGTCGGGGATCAGCCGATCAGGTCACTCTGATTTATGTCACTACTTCTGGTAATCTTACTTATTGATACGGTACGGGATTTTACATGGATGGTCCTCACGGCTGTGTACTTCGCATACGAACTTGAGATACTACTTTCATGACTAAACCTCAAAGTTCTCTTAACATTGTATTCACAGTTTTCTGAGATTTGGAGTGTCGTATTTAACAACTTCAGTTCCCTTTTCCAACAGCAGCTTGTTTGGTGAGGCTAGTTCTTAAGTATTTTATGTTGCCTTTTTTGTCATGCTTAAAGAAATAGATCAATTCGCTAAGCAAATTAACTTTCTAATCGGTATGGTCATAATCGTCTCATAAGCGAATTATCTCGAAGACGCCTGTGTGATAGCTTGATAATCTGATTTATTTAATCATGGCAATTGCTGATTAGATTTCCACACACCTCGTGCGAGACTCTGTTGCTGAGGTACTCTGAATGTCTAGCTCCAACCGAAATCGAACCCGTACCTATGCTTTTGGCTGCTATCGGCTGATTGGCTCAACACCTCAATTATCAATTAGGTGGTCCATCGTGGAGTTGATGAATTTCCTATTATAAAGGAATCTGAGTTTTACAAAGGTGAGCAGTGCGACGAGTTAGTGTAGGGGAAAACGCGGATAATCTAGCTCTGTTGTCGAAAAGCTCGATTCAGTGCGACCCTCATTGTGTTAAGCATAAATCATCTTCGACCTCCGCTTTGCAGAAGACAACAATAAATTAGGCTTACTGCTGATTTATTTATTTGTGGCGTGCATGTTCTCCGTCTATCATTAGCGCTTCGAACGGGTTTCTTCCTTGTTGTTCGTCAGGACTTTAAGCGGAGTCCTTCTCTGAATCTTGTTAATTTCGCATCTATTTATCGAAATCAGTCTTACAATTGATATTGTGCTGATAGCTGCTTCAGAGAATCGAAAGGGAACCTTGGCGATATGGTTCTAATTCGACGAATTCCAGTTGATCAAAGGCCTACGACCAATGTTGCGCATTTGATCGATCGAGTAGTATTCAAATACGGTAAGCTTCTAGCGGAAATTATTTTGAGATGCTTCGTTGCTTAGAACGGTTTTAGTCTCATCATTTGGACTACATTAATTGGCAAATATGTTTTTTCAGGTAACATAGTTGATCCTGTAACTGGTAGGCGTGTGATCAAAGATGAGTTCGCTGATGAAATTGAACTTCGCAAGCACCTTGTCGAGCAAATCGTTGATGCTCCTTTAGAACAAGTGAGACATGTTCTTTGGTTTTTTTTTTAAAGTTTTCCCCTTACTCTGTAAGAGGTTCCAAGAGTGGTTCTAGTGGGTATCGCTCGAAGGGTTCTATATGGGACATCAATGGTAATAACCCGCCTTCACGTTTCTCCCTGGTGGGATAATCCGCTTAACTTTAGAGACCTATTGAGTTTTTAATTGCTTTGTTACTTTCTTGTTAAATTCCTCAATTTATGCAATGTATTCTGTGAACTGCTTGATGCACTAGTTGGTGTTTCCGCATCCCTGTAGTGGTCTGATGTCGAGTAATCGCTCTGGAGAATGAGAGTTTTTTTGCTTCATTCGCAGTTCATGCGTGCTATGTCGTTGCCCCGTCAATTGATCCTTGAAATCATTATAGGATGCCCTGTTGTTCGATGAACGGCGGGCTATTCAACGCCAAGTGCTAGAAGAGAAGCAAGCATCTTTAGAAGAAGACAAGCCTTAGTGAAATACGTAACAGCATTTATATTTTGTAGTAGGTTAGATCGACTGTGTTCCTATTCTTCACCGTTATTGTACGGATATAGGTGTATCTATAGATATTGTTGATTGTTGTCATTTTTGTTACGAATGAACGCTTTACTACCTCTCCGTGGCCCAAGTTTCTTTCCAATGGCTGTACCATCATCTTCTTAACCACTTTGTATTTTAAAATGTTTTATTTGTAAATAAGTATTTAACCGAACTTGTTTTCGTAGAAATGGAGTCGGATGACTTGTCAAAGGCGAGATTTGTGAAGGTGTACGATTATCTGGAAGAGCGTGCTGCTCAAGTGGCTGATCTTCTCCAGGTAACTGTTCTGGCTAATTGCGTTGTTTTGCGTATGTATGTGCTGTTTTTCGGGATGCATTGTATCACTAGGTGGTGGATAACTCGAATCTGGTTTCCGGAGAAGTTACAAAAGGCCCAAGAACAGCGGCGCAGCGGCTTCCAAGGCATATGAGACGGTGAGTTCACCTCGCTTTTCGGTTTGATTTTTCAGGCGCGCCCGGTGTCATTTTATAATTAAAGTTTTCTTCATCCTTTGTTTCTACTTCTGAAGAGGCCCTGATGATCTTGCACAAGATGCATAGAATGAACTACACCACAACCAGTTGCAGCTCTCAAAGGCTTTGCCGAGTTCGTTGATAAATTTCAGTCGCGCCATGGCTTATGACGTGCGCCGATTTCCAAAGGGTCTTCGAAATTATGCTGCCCCTTTCTTAGCGAACACCAAACATAGAAAGAAGCCTCCCAGTCGGTACTTTCGTCGAAGATCTCGGAATCTGTTATTGGTGAGTCTGTTTGCTTTTTCCTTAGCGGTATGTGTTTCATGTATTGGTTTTTTAAGAATTACATTCGGCGGCAAAGGAAAATGGTGTGGCTAGAAACACATATCTGGCATGCAAAACGATTTCATATTGTTGACAGGTTGGCGGAAAGCCCCATCCTCTCGAAAAACATCGTAATTTGTTCATTGAAGGTGGGGTTATCGCCTGCCCGACCGGAGCTTCCAACGCAATTTTCGCCCTTGCTATCGTGATTCTGTGAGACACTGCACCGTGCGCGATAAAAGTTACCTTTCCTGCATTCTGGTTGGTTTTTTCACTGTTATCCTGAATAATTTTTTATTTGGTTCGGTATTTTACTTTTATAGATCTCTCATCGTAAACAAGATGAACTTATTGCGATGCTCAGTCCTCTATGCGTGAACTCTGCGTCGCCGACGTTCGCTTTCAAAAGTGGTCTGGATGGTAGGTATGAAGTGAGTATCCCAATACCTCCTATCATTTCTCTGGATCATATTTCCAAGATGGATCGAGCATTCAAGTTATTCAGGTATCAACTCTCATCTATCATCCAGGTCAATACCCTCAAGGACTAATCGGTCCTGCTCGTTTCCTTTGGAGTAAGGAAGGGTTCGTTGTGCCGGTTAATTTTTTTTTTGTTTTTTTGCTGTTGCCATGACCTTCAAACCTATTAAATGAAAGCATTCTCTTAGCATTTTCCACTCTGTTAGAAACTGGTGGGAGAATGTATTGTGATGCCGAGTGTTGCTATTTGATACGCATGGTTCGGACTCGAGTCCTGGATTGATATAAGCTTAGATCAAGTAACTCCGTCTTTCTTAGGGGTTCATTAGTTGGTACCAGACTTTTCTAGGCGAGTAAAAGCATTGGTTTGTATATTGGCTGGCTCGTATAGACCACATTCGCATTCAAAACGACATCACGATTCTGAATGAAAGTCGAATATGGTGTGCATCCCTAAATTCGTTTGAAACCAAGAATCTCTGTCGATTCGACTCCAAGGAAAATTTGTTGGGAAATGGGAGTTACAGTGACATTAATGAGAGTCCGTGCCTAGATTGGCTGCCTTTTTAACAATATACCTTGCGCATCTGGGCAGATGAAGTTCAAGCCATTAAAAAGTAGAGGTCATGTTGAGTTGGATTGTTTTTGAAAAGTTACTTTTTGTGGTGTCGATCAATTTTTTAATATTCGAGAACATTATATATTTGACTTCATTGAAGGTCTTTCCTCATAAGCCCTCACTATTACCATTTTCCAGATGGCTCTATTTTGTGAACTTTTCACGTTGCAGTGAAATGCATCGGTTGGCGTTATGGATTCATCCTTCATGCCGTGCTCAACTGTTAGATTTATTGAAGGAATTATTAGAACTTAGTGATGAAGAACAATCCGAAGACGACGATGATGAAAAGGCGAGTCACTAATAGCTAGCGATCAATTCGACCCATTCTCATGAGCCCATATCGTCTTGACCAATCGTATTTCACTTCAGTCCACCACTGTTCCACATAGTGTTGAAGAATGGCGATTGAGCAGGCTGAGAGTTCATACTCAAAGCTGGACTGGGAGGCATGGAGTAGAGGTAGTTTTATAGTTTTTGTTTCCCAACTATTTATCTTATGATCTTTTCTAGGTCCAAGACTTACGTGATCAGTTAGTGCGTATCCGTCTCTACGGGCCACTTTCTGTTTCAATAGTGTCTGATGCCTTGAAATTGGTCGACGATGAAAAGGCTCCTCAATTCAGGTTCGTAGCATAAATTTTCGACCTCAATTTTTACTTCAGTCTTGTTGGGGGGCTATTTCACTTCGATAGTTCTTTGTCAATCGTGTTAAATTGGCACAACTTTCCCGACTCAATGACATGGGCAACATGTATCAGTCATATGACTAGTAATAGAAACTTTTGCTCTGCAGCGAGCAGTAAATGACTGAATGATCTATCAGGACGCCTTTCAACTTCCCATGCAAAATAGAGCCTTAAGTTCGAGGGTGAAAGCTAAGAGCCGAAGTCAGTTCAGAAACGATAAAATAACTCTTTCTTCTAGCTCTGACCGCAATCTGTGCAATCACTATGAGGTGATGCCTTGTCAAGGAGGCTGAAGGAAACGAAAGCCGTTTGGACCTTTTGAGTGTTCATTTGTACAGCTTCAAGTCATTTGCTAGTATGGGCGTGGGAATATGGGAATTATGGCTCTGGTCAAGTAACTAAGAACGTAACTGCGGCTAAGCACCTCTGACTTTTTCTTCGAATACAACTAAGCTCCTGAGTGTGCAAGCTATTGAAAATGGGCGGGGTTGTTTGGAGCTAGGTTGGTAGAGGCACAGTGGGGGTGCACTTTCATCTCATAGGCTGAATATTCTGAAGTCATAGGAGCTAAAAGACCGATTGAGAAGTCCAACATTTCATAGGTGGGGCTTTCACCATGGGAGCTTTCGAACTGGTCATACTAGCTGCTCATTCATCTCATTTTGAAGGTTAAATCACTCGGAATGGCGTGATTCTGTTTCGAAACTTTCTACTGGTTGTGTTGCCGATGGCGCAATCTTTTCACTTCTGGTCGAAGATCCAAGAATTTCTCGACCGCGAGTTAGAAAGGTTAGTACCACAGTTTTTTCTTTCGAATGTTGTATTCTTTTATGATGCGTGACCTATGCGAGTCAAAGGCATCCTCCATTTCTTCTCGTAAGAGTACCAGATAGAGTACGAGCACACGGCATTGGGGTTGGCGTAAAGGTTCAGAAGGATTCTAAATAGTTTCTCACTCTCTAGAAGTGGAGGAGTGCTGAAACATGCGTGGTTCGGATCAAGTTAACTAACCCGACCGGGCTCTATCTCGTAATCCTTGGACACAAAGTGATTGTGACCCTGAATACGTCAGTTCTCCCGAAGCGCATTCAAACCGTCTTTTCTGACATGTCATACTTAGCGTATCTAAAAGCGAATAAGTTAGATATTGATAACCCGGCTGAAGATAGCTTATGTGGTCGCATTCACGATTTCTTCATTTTTGAGGGTATTGATACCAGGTTTATGAATCAGTCAATCTGGAGTGAAGGGCGGTCCAATTTCTAACAGCAATAGCCACATGTGTGGACGCAGTTCTAGTCCACATATCAAACTTGAATTCTATTGAACTGTTCCAATTGCGAAGGGTTTAAGCTCATCATTAAAAGGAAGGATTCGCAAGAGTTGTAGGCAAAATCTTCTAGAAAAAAAACTGAAAGAAATTTTCAATTGGCTGATATTCGTTTATTCGTTCGTTCATATCAGTGCAGGTAGCGCTGGAATGATGACCATATCGGTGCAAGGGAGGCCTTTAATTCTAGAATATCCCGGTTGATTTTGTTTCGGCGGAGGTTGTGCCGATTTGTAGAAGAAATTCTTGCCGAACCATGAAGAGCCATTCTGTCATGTTGTTATTACAATTAATATGTATCCTAGTTGAGGTGCCAGTCGTCGAATGCCCTATTTCCACGCCGGAGTCACATTCCATCCCACAGTCGATCTTCTGGAGTAGGGATGTGAGACTAAAAGCTTTATCTAACCGGTAAATAGTCAATTGTTTTTCGCTTCTATTTTACATGCGTTTTGGTTGTTTCCTCTCTATCTTTTTTATTACATGTTGTGGTACCGTTGGATAATGTATCTTTCAGGATGACCGACTCGGAGTTGAATTCCCTCAAGGGGAAGTGCCTCAGCCAAATCAAAGAGACTGAAGCTAAGGTTCGTTTATGAACTTTGTGGTTTCTGAAAATCAAGTTATGGGTGATAGTCGCCTTTTTTCGCGGAACTTATCAGTTGTCCGATAATTGAGGCGTGAAGCATTCGGTAGTAGATTGTCTAGAGTTGGAATTCGGTTATTCTGAAATTTGTTTTGTAGAGTCTCAGCTTTATTGCCTTCATCTGACACTCCATATTTCATGCTCTTAATACTATAAAAAGGGTAGGATTTGTGTAGAAGCCACAAGAAAATTCAACCGCCTTGTCCCAATCTCAACTGGAGCGGTCTGGGATCCGATTATCCAGATACAATGGAAAACTGCTTTTCGTGAAACAAAGCAAGCGTTGGTGTTACTTTTCCAAAAATAGCTTGGTTCAACCGAACTCCCTGTGTAGGTGATATGGTTGCTGAAGGATAGCGATTGCAATGAAGCGTAGCAGCTGTTGAGCAATGAAGTTGGTGAAACTGTAGTTATGGTTATGGTTACTTTTAGAAACGCTGAATGTATGCGCCCTCCAAATTAACGGTTTTGAATATAATGGAATAGTTGTGTATAGTCTTTTAATTTCCATTATATCCTTGTTTGGGCGAAGGTGGTGTAGTGGCACATGGCGCACTATCACACATGCATGGTCACGAGTTCTAATCTCAGATCGATATCCGCTTGGGCATCTAAACCTTCCTTCCCTCCTGGGTGGGTTGATTTGTATCATACTGGTCTGGTAGGGTAAAAGCTCTGACTTGTACATCGGCTGGTCACTGTAAGCCATTGTATAGGCCACATTCGCATTTATTACGCCACTACGATTTGTAGTAGAAGTCGAATACGGGGCGTATCCTTTAGCCAGGATTGATCGACGCCATCAGACTACTATCTATTATATCCTCATTTGCAACTTTTCATTTGAAATAGATGTTTGTATTCATTTCAGATTCCTGTGTTGGTAGTGTTTCGCAGTGGCGGAACTGGTCGTGGTGATACGTTATCTGGATGTGAGCTGATCGTCCCTTGTGGATTCGGCATGTATATGATTTATTTCCGGTCTTGCTTGTTTTTTTTTNTTTTTTTTTGTTAAGCGATACATTCATCTCTATTTTCTGTTTCTTCTTTTAGGAATGGATTTCTGGGTGGCGCTACAATTACGGACAGCTCGTGCGTCTGGATGGCGTGATGAACTCACTGCTCATTTGGAAGCGTCACGGCTTTGTTTTCCAACAGATGTAGTCGATTCATTAGCAGGGAATGAAGAAATCAAACGTATGCAATTAGAGCATGAGGTCACTTTTCGTAGCCCTTTCTCTTCGTCTTTTCCTATTTTGAATGAGATTGTTCCTTCTTACACTGCCCAAGTTTTCAGGCCAAATACGATAAGCGACCTCATAATCGGCGTGTCAGCTACTGGCGGAAGCTTTCTATCAAGTACCCTTTCACGTTCGAGTATTCGGAATTGGTTGGAGAGTGGCTCTCAGCGAAGGTTGGTCCTGTTATCTTCATTATATCGGAATCAATCTTTTCTTTATCATTATAAGAAACCCAAGTCTAAGAGAATACACTGTCGAGCATAGTGATTGAAGACGGAGCTGATATAGCGCTTTTCGACCAGTGAGCTGCATAACTTTGTGCCAACTCGCCCTTAAGCCACAATGCTGTCTCACCAAACTCTTCAAGGCAGAGTTCACGCTAAAATGGTCTATGAGATATCCCGCTCAGATAACTTTGTGCTCCCTTGTATAACATATGTCGCGCCGTCTGGTCAGAAAGCGGCCTAGATAGGGCGTTATAAAGACTCATATATTGTCCCGTGTGTATCCTCACACGAGTTTCAACGGTACTGTAGAGGCTGCACCATTCGCAAGGGAACTCATGTAGGAAGTTCATATCTGCCGTGACTCACGGTGACATGGTGGAGGGTAGTTCCGGACATTTTTGGCTTGATGTAGTCGATTGCAATTCGATAATTGCAATTGTACCAACTGAAATCTCGTCCAAATCCCCCTTCCATGTCGTATCTTTCATGGCGATCTCGTACAACCCCTATTTTCACTACTCTTAGATAGCCTTTTTTGCAAAATCGGCTAGTTTTCTCGCTTCTTTCCCCACCGATGGTTTATTGCCAGCCGATACTTCCGCTTTTCCACTCAAAAAAGCACCTCAGAATTATCGTGAACTGTTTCTTTGATTGAGACTGAGTTTATTTCTTTGATATTCACATCAATGGTTATCGGTTCCTATTTGAAGGTCACTGTACATTTTGAGCATGAATGATGCCAAACTGCTTGTCTTTGTAGGTTTTTTCGAGATCTTCCAAGGGGATGCATAATTTCTGCCCGGGCAATTGATCAACCAGGCGGCGCTGTTTTCGCGAGCCCCTATGGGATTAAAATAAATCATTTTTAATAGCTACCAATCCTGATCCTATTGAGAGAAAAGCTTGTGGATGTGGTGGTGTTTAGTAGCTTCAGAACAGTTTTCGTGTTGCATCACTTTTACCAACTTGACAATTTTCTTGCCTGCTTATAGATTAGCTTTGATAGGGTTTAAAGCACTTGGAATCAGTTAGCGGATTATATTTAGTGGAGGCATGGAAATTTGCTGAAAAGTGGGTCGCTCCGCATTGTCTCACTAGAATCTAACGGTTGTTTGTGGCAGATGGATAAATTCCATATGTAACAGTATAACCTGAACTAAAGCATGTTACCGGGTGTCTGACAACGAAGAACCTTTCTGAATTTATCAGTTATATCTTTATTATCAGCTTTGTCCATCTCTCTGCACGCCCCGCCCATTATGAAGACATAGCTTCTCCTCCTCCAGTGACCCTTGACCCATTTTGTCGGTACCTTGAACGCTGGAAGTATAGTCTGCGGCTTTCTATCTCAACGGGAGATAGGAAATCTCAGAAGTAGCTAAGAAATAACAAACAATCCTGAGAATACCCATCTCTTTTCATAGGGAAGGAAACCTGTTGAGCAACCGTATGTTCTTCGAGATCGCCGTGCGTTAATGTCCTTTTCGCGATGGATTCAAGGCAAAGAAAAAGTTCCAGGTTAGCTAAAGGATCTTTATGACATTGTCTTTAATAAGGATCTTTGGAGCGTGAAAACATGAAGATCTAAAAATCCCTCCTTTTCATTTTTTTGTCTCTCTGATCATGGTTGGAAGACATTTTATTTTTTTTTGTTTTTTACGCTATTTCGCCGTAATAGCCAACAAATATAAAGGTTCAAAAGAGAATATCTGCTGGTCTTACAAGAAAGGAGACAGCTCAAAAAGTTTATCTTCGGTGCCTTCGAGTCCATGGCGGGTTCTGCCTTTTTGATGCGAAGAGTGTTTTAGTGGGTGAAAACATCGCGGGCCTTTGGGCCATAAATCATCCTAGTTTATGAATCCCATACTATTACTACGTGGTCGATTAATCCGTAGTGGACTTGTCTAAGATGAAAGTTCGGACTTGAACATGGAAATACACATCGAGGCTACCATTGTAGCCAACCGGTTCGTGTTCGGGCTAATATTGGCGACGGGCGTAAGTGCCAGCATCACTTGTTGCGTAACCGGCCGTTCCTTCCCAGAAGCCGACGCGTGTATTTGGCTGTTTTGTTTGGACCTTCATAGCTAGCGCAGTAGTCTGCTTCTGAGCCTGAAATAATTGCTCCTGATGTTTCCACGCCAGCATTTTCTTTTAACTTTGATAGTGTCTGTTGCATTTGTTTCGGAGCGAGTTATTTTCTAGCATTTTTTTACTTTTTCTGCAGCCTATCCTTTGGTCTCTTACACTGCAGCTCTTCACTTTCTCCAAATGTGCTGCCTTGTTGTCTTTTTTTTTNTTTTTTTTTGATTTTTTGCATTTATATATTCTGTTCTCATTTTTTTAAATTTAATGTTTGCTTTTGTCTTTTGTTTTATGTTCAATACGTACTCCAGTGATTCTTCACTAAAATGATAAACCAGGCCGTAGGCCTATAGGGCAAAGAGGCAGTTACGCTTCTGTAGAATCAGCTTTGGACGAAAGTGGATTGATCTTCGTTGGTAGGAGAGATTGCAGAGCTCACTGCTCACTCTTAGCCTCTGAACTGCTCTGAGCTTTGGAGTACGCTGAATGTTATGACCCTGTATTACAGTTTCCAAAACAAAAGTTTTTTGTGCTTGGATGTTTTATCCGGTTCGATATGAACAGAAATGGCAGATCATGGCAGGAAAATGCAAAATGGTTGCAACTGTGATCACTGTCTCAGGTTGTTAGTCAATGATCCAGCAACAACGGGAGTTTCTGGAGCTCCTCCCTGAATTCAAGAACTTCGGTCATTAAATAACAGTATCTATAGCCTCTCAAGAATCTCCCAAGAAAAGTTGTTGACTTACCTTGTTGCTTCCCCAGCCGTAATATCCGTATGTAGGATAGCTCAGTCCACTGTATAGTCCACCGTAGTAACCAGCATAGGTTGGGTAGTATGAGGCATATCCAGCATAGGCAGGGTATCCGGCATAACCGTACCATTGAGCCTCAGTCTGATGGATCAGAATGCAGGCGATAGCGACGAAGATTAGTCTAAAATTGAAAGTGGTTTTAAAACTAAGGGCATCGGGATTTTTTCGTAGTTGCTTCATTTTTAGGCTACCTGAACCCTCGAGATTAATAAATTGTCCCTGTTCGGGCAAGAGGTAGATCTCGATAAGCATTTGGAATTGTCTAGTAAACCCTCCCAAATCTCATTTCTCGTTAGCATCTATGAAGGGGCAGCGTCGTGACCCGCAATATCTGTAAATTTAATTTCCGGAACTTGTAGATTCATTTATTTATAACTCGGTTTCTTAATAAATAATAGTAATAGCGACTGTTGCAAAATCTCCTGGGGAGTGAGAATTTCCTAGGAGGTGTATGAGTAATAAATTGAGAGGTTGTGGAGGTGCCAACTAAAAAAAAAGAAGTTGGGAAATGTTTTCAAAGGGAACGGCTAAAGGTAGAACTCACGTCTTGAAAAGCATGTCGATTGTGAGTCGGCAGGTGCTTGTTCCAATTTTTTGCGACCTTTTATACGTCGAAATCTGTTTGACTCGAGCTTTCAGTCTTGTTGGGTTAACGCGCTGTGTATTCGTTTCAATACTAGTTCTAGCCGTAGGGTATGGCGCGAACTGTTTGATTTACCAATGATGTTGATTTTGCTGATCTTCGACCCTGAGTAAATAATGTTGTGTCAAGTGTTTCGCGCGTGGGAATGCTTTTGATACTTCCGAAAAGTTCGGAGTGGGAGCAAGCCGGTCCACAATCTTATTTTACTGCTATGATGATCAAAAAACATACCTCACAATCACATATCATAAAAATTCCCTGACAATGTGTCCTCATTTCTTTGAAAAAATCCTCAAGAACTGAAAAAAATCCTTTGCAGTGACTTGCTTTATTTTTTATGAGTAAAAAAGTGTAGCTCTAAGTGTCTAAGCAGGGCCAATGTTAAACTTTTTGAAGGGTGTGACAGATTACTTTGAAGGGTATGACTATTTACTATCAGGTAAGGATTACGTCATACGCACTGAGAGTATTGTCCTAAAATCCTGAAAAAATTCATATGAAAATAAGAAAATCTGAGAAAGGTTTATGTGGAAGATATTACAAAGCACAGGTCCGATGCTTTCCCATTCCCTTATCCCTTCAACTCAATCGGAAGTGTTCTAGGGTTCCGTATTTGGTCCCTATATATGGCAGTTCTAATTCCCTAATTCACACATTTGCTTGAAACCGATGGGTGGGCAACGCCTGAATGTGGGCAGGTTTAGCGCGCACAGATGGGTTTTTACTCAGTCGTGCCTCTGTTACAGTAACTCGAAAAAGTCACACTGACTGCGATGGATTCATTTAATACGACCATAATTCCAATTTCGAGAACTATTTGTTTTTGCAATGATTTTAAAGTAATTTTGCCTACACCTCAACCTCCTCAACGGTTGGACCTCAGCAGGATCTTATTACAAGGTTGGACTTGAACCTTGTATCGTAAAGAACTGTGTATTAGAAGTGCTGATGGCTTCTAATTTACTTGAGACTGAAGGCCAAGGTCTCCTGCGTGTGGTTTGTTTACATTATCATTGTTTGTGTTTATACAGGAGAACTATTGGCCACACACGCTGGTGCACTAATTGCTGTTGAACTGCAATGTATTGCCCGAGGAAAGCCGAGACGATATGGTCTAGTCTGCCTTCCTACAAAAGATGATTTAGAAAAGGTGAGCCAGCTCTTCTCGTGTTTTCGTTGGTCCATATTACGGTAATTTTCGATTGTTTCTCGATTTTCCAACATTTTGCCCTTATAATGAAGGAATCCGAACTGCTCAGTAGGTCGCCTTATACGAATTGAAATATTTCGAAATAATTTCTCCTCTTTTACACAAATCTAACAATAAGACCTAAGATAATGAAAAGGTGATGCGTGTATCATAAAGTAAGGGATCCGCCAACCATTCGACTTTCCGGCTCCGTTTGGAAGGATATTGGCTTAAACGATAATCCAAGTCATTGTTTTGTCTCTTAATGGACAGACGGCTCCAGCCGGTTTGAACAGTGAGTCTTGACGGATTTTCGACTTCCAGGCCGTTCGGCTGGTAGTAGTGTCACATGTGACTGCTTACGCTTCAACCCGGGATTAAGTACGTAACTATGGTTACTTCATACAGCTACTTCACAACAAACTTTTTTGGGTCACATCCAAACTACGTTGACCATCCTTTGGTCATTTTGTTGGTGCTTTTTTCGTTTTATGACAAAAAAACACTGGTTGACTGTTGCTCCTATTTTCTAGGGATTGTGTCTCCACTATGTAGCATTGGCATTGAGTGCATAACCTACTCCACAGTATTTACTCAATGCGATCGCTTTATTTTTTCTTTTCTTTTTTCCTTTTTCTTATTTTTTTTCTAACATTATCTGTCACTTTGCGCTCTTGTAATTGTATCGAAAATTTCAATTTCATAGGACACTGACACTTGATTTTAGATTAAAAATCGACATAAAAATGGTCCAGTGAGGATAGAACAGGAGCCAAGAGGTTCTCATGAAAAAGCGGAAACGAGTGCAGTGGAGGTCGAGGTCAGCCCTTCTTTCCGTCAGCTGCTTTTGTATGTTCTTGCCTTGTCTTGTGAGTAATAAGCAGAAGCAGCGCACCAGTCAGGGCTTGGTTTAATGAGTATGGGAATCCCTTACTGTTTCCGTCTGAACTCTTTTTCCTTCAATGCCTAAAAATCGTCGAGTTCTTATTTGTCGAAAATCAGAGGTGGTGATAAATAATGCGCTCTTTGCTGCAGGTTTTGAATGGCCATAATGGGGATGAATTGCGACCAGTCTCTCATTGTTGAGCTTTTTTTGTAACGAGTTTTCACTCATTTAGAGGTGATGAAAATCTAGTTGCGAAAATGGGATGTACTCCATCAGAGCAGCTCCAGAAGTCTAATAGAAGTTATGAAAACCGGGTGGAAATAAGGGTTTGTGAGGGTCAAGATGAAGTCCGATGGAGCTGTATTTCTGATGAAGTATCGAAAAATTGGTAAAATTGGTAAGAAAAAGGCATGTGAGAGCACTGCCCATCTTGTGGAAGTGAATTTGGAGTCTATCAAACTTTACTGACATCAGGAGACAGCTATGCACAAAGTCACGGGTATAGAAACAAATGTGGTGTCTCACTGGGCAAAGGGTGCTACATAAGTGCAGAACATTGCGAAAATTTGTAATTGACCCCGGGACAAACTCAATATTCGGAAAAAATCGAGAATGATAGGAGTGTCCGGAGTCGTGTTAGGCATTAGGAGACCGTCTTCTTGCAAGCACGACATGTCTTCATACTCAAGAACTTTCCATCGAGAATTCAGTGTACGCTTTCTAAACGACGTAGAGATCGGAAAAAACAGAAGGAGTAAGCCTGAGGCGATCGCCCGAAAAAGTGAAATCGAGTTCGGGTGACTATGGTAGACAGTAGAAAGCTCGTAGTCTGTTCTCACACTCCCCTAGCGCTTTTAAAAAGTGGCAGAAATCGGCCAAAACTTGCGCAGGGTAAGCTTCCAAGGTGGAATATTAAGGGTGGAAAGGAGCAGTTGTGGGAGAGGAGGATCTGGGGGATTGATCGCACAGGTTTTAATGAGTAGTTGAAATTGGAATATGGTAGGCGGGACTTCGTTTCCATGTCTTTGACTGATAGACGCGAAAAATTGTATTGTACAAATTGCCTTGAAAGAGTAAAAGTAACCATAAGCAGGGGCAGGCCTGGAAGTTGGGGAAGTTGTGTTTGGGTATGTCACTTGCAGGATGAAGTACAATACCGATATATTTGGTGACATCTGTGAAAATACAATCTTTAGCAGAAACCGGTCGCAAAAGCTGATATTTGGAAAGACGTCGTATCGCTGGATCAAGCTACGCGTGAGAAACCCATACCATTGAAAGACCTCTTCCCTGATAACAAAGTTGTTGACAGGTAAGTCTCAACTGCATTTGTTCGCTGTTACATATCTGTTGTTTCTCGTGCTCGAGGACGGAAGTAGTAGGAGAGGAACGAGTTCTCAAACCATATCCTGTTGGCTGATACAAAACCAGATCCAAACTTTCCACTAGTTTTCGCCCTCTTGTACCTATCCATCAGTAAGTCCTTCCTAGGGCGTGATTTCCTTCATTTTATGACTAAGCTTGGCTTCAAAGCTTTTATCTGCAATAATATACCATACCTGCTCATTTTTCGCCGTAGTTCACTCCAAATGGTTGTCTATCATTTTGGTACCGTGTACATATGGTGTCTTTTATTTCGTGAACTCATGCTTCCAAAGGAAACAGTGGCTGGAATGATCAACCCTTGAAGTGATAGCTCGAAAACTTTCGCTAAAGCTTGGTGAGCGGAGGTTACTCATGACACTTCCTTGAGTTTCTTTGCGCGTCAAACACTAGGAAAAATTATCAATTTGCTTAGAACAATTGAACTGATCAGCACGAGAAGCATATATCATGAATTTTCTGGCGTCTTTAATGTAACGAGGCTGAAATGGATGGAGGTATAGTTTTTTTTCAGAACGTTGAAGAGAAAGCTTGTTAATCGGAAGAAAAAGGAGAGTGCAAAGCGACGTCGTGAAGGTAGAGAAGAACGTTTGCGAGAACTAAATGAGGAAAAGAAGGAAAAGGAGAGCACTCCCTACAGGGAATCTGCAAACAGGTTCAGTTTCATTGCAGTTCTTTTTGGGTTCAGTTTCTGCTTGGTTTATTCAGGTTGTATTACGTTATATCGAAGTAGATTTGATGATTTCAATATGCTCCTGAGTGGCCAATACGGGATATCTCTTTAGGATTAAAAACTAGTTCTTTGAGAACCGTCATTATATAAAAAAACGGTCATATGTCGAAGCTCAGAATACCATTGTTGAAACTTCCCTGCGAATTTCTCCCGAATAGGTCGAATTAGTGCTTTTGTCTCGATAGTATTATTTGGCTCATTATTATTGGCCTGTCATCAGCCTCCATGATCCAAATTACCAGAAAGTGCAATGAGTAGTTCTTCGGTTGAGCTCTTTCAGTTGATGGTTTCGTATTCCAATTTATAGCAGAGCTTATGAGCTCAAGAATGTGGGTGAGAAATTCGGTTGCAACCTTTTTTCCTCCCGAGCTCGATGATGAAACCAAGGGTTCTCTCTCAAACTCACCACCATGTATGCAAGCAGGGAATATCTACCAATGTGTTAAACTACCAGATTCAACCTCTCGGTTTTCGATCGATAGCCACTATTGCCGTCTCCCTTCTCGACGCGATGCCATAACACTGCAATAAATACAGCCTATTTCTCCTCAACCTATCGTTTATTTGATGGTTACTTCACACGAAATTTGTCCCCTTGCGCTTTGGATTGATCCTCGTGGCTTTTCAGATTGGTTATTGGTCGGGTCATGCGTGGT